ACTACTACTACTAATAATAATAATAATAATTTATTTGTATCTGGCCCTCCCCAGCTGAGGCTGGCTCAGAGCGGCTAACATCATAAAAACAACACAATATGCATAAAAGCAGACATCTTAAAATTAATTCAGACAAGTTAAAATCTGGGCAGGTGGAAGTTATCAGGTTGGAATTGAGATCAGGACCAACTGATCATACACTGATCATACAAGGACTTGGGAGCGGCTTGGGAGCCTCCGTCGGGCTTGTTTTATACAAAAGAAAGTAAGTCAAACTGCACCCTGCCCAAAGGCCTGGCGGAACAGCTCCATCTTGCAGGCTCTGTGGAAAGATGTCAAATCTCGCAGGGCCCTGATCTCTTGTGGGAGAGCGTTCCACCAGGTTGGGGCCACGGCTGAAAAGGAGCCTATGGAGACAGCTTTAAGAAGTGTAGATTTGAAAGGATCATCCTTTTGTTTCAGGCAGACCAATCATCCTTGGTTTGCCCATAGAACCCAATTAGTTTTTTATTATTAGCTGCTGGTGGGCATTCCACGTCCTGCTTTAATTCTTGTGTTGTTTTAATGGGATTGTTTTACTGTGGACGTGGGTGGTGCTGTGGGTTAAACCACAGAGCCTAGGACTTGACGATCAGAAGGTCAGCGGTTCGAATCCCCGCAACGGGGTGAGCTCCCGTTGCTCGGTCCCTGCTCCTGCCCACCTAGCAGTTCGAAAGCACGTCAAAGTGCAAGTAGATAAATAGGTACCGCTCTGGCGGGAAGGTAAACGGCGTTTCCGTGCACTGCTCTGGTGCGCCAGAAGCGGCTTAGTCATGCTAGCCACATGACCCGGAGGCTGTAAGCCGGCTCCCTCGGCCAATAAAGCGAGATGAGCGCGGCAAGCCCACAGTCGGCCACGACTGGACCTAATGGTCAGGGGTCCCTTTACCTTTACTGTGAGTAGCAATCACTGGTAGCTTGATCCTCCATGAATTTCATCTTCTTTTAAAGGCATTGAAGTTTTGTGACTGACATAAACACCTTATGTCAGGCAACTCCATAGTTTATGCACTGTGTGAAGAACTCTACGCCGTGCGTCTGTTCTGAATCTCCCACCATTCAGTTTCACTCGCTGACCCTGGATTGCATTATTAGGAGACAGGGAGGAAAGAACCCTTTGTGATCTTATACAGTTCACTACACGATCCCTGACTGAGTCAGGCTCATTCATGGGATAAATCTAGGAAGCAGGAAGAAACAGCTGGAGGCCAGGCAGGGTGAACATTCAGACAATTAAGGGAGAGTTCAGGGCAAGACTCCAATTTTACCATAATGCAAGTTGCAACCCCCCCAAAAAATCCAAAGTACAGGCTATCTGATGCAGTCCTGATTTTTAACCCACGGGCATCCTCTGGGTAACTGCAAACACACACTCACTAAGGAAACTTGGCAGCAGAGTCATTGAAACACCTGAAGAAAGCCCGTAAAAATAAATTGAGCATCTGTAGAAGGACATCATGTTCATTTACAACAGCAATGAAATTTTATTTGCACCATTATGCATTATTTAGCATATGCTTGCTGCAAGCCTCACAGAGACATTTGCTCTTCGGACAAGAGAAATATCTATCTGAGCTTCCTTTCCTTCGCCCATTTCCTTGCCAGATAGCACTATAGGCTGTATTGTAAATTATAAATATTTTAAAGGAATTCTTAAAGCCAATTGCCACTTTTAGTGGCATCAACAAATCTAAGCATCTGTTGTCTTAGTGTAGCTCTAAGCCTGTTATGTCCGACAAGGCTAAGTTCACCGTGAAAACTTCCCAACTCGGGAAAGACTATGCTTTATGTATTATCATGTGTGTTTGATTGTGTTCTATCTATTATCTCGGCTTGGTTGCTAAGATGGGATCCTTGGCTACCACCTGCATTTGGTTGACCAATAAAAATTTCTGACTTGATTTGGGTAACACGCTCCAAAATGCTTCAAACTGGATTGTCCTCACTCTCAGGGTGCTTGCAATGGGAAAGGTAAACACAGAGCACTCTTGCTTTCTCTGACTGAAGCAAGGGAACCCTCAGATGCAACTCACTTCAAATCCTCCACATCTCTATTCTGAACTCCAAAGGGTTGCTTGACTGTCCCAGTTTCGTCCCTGCTCTGATTAGTTATCAGCATGGGGATGGAAGCGAGCGAGGGAGAGAGAGGAGCTCTGAACCCCTACCCTACGGCAAGGCGGATGCTGCCTGGATTTGCGTCACAGAGAGCAGGGGAGGGAGAGAGAGGAAAGTAGAACAGCTGGAAAGATACAATATTTCTCTGGGGGGTTTTTGGTGTGTGTTTTTGCAGAGAGGGGGTGCTGTATGTGTGTGTGTGTGTGCGCGCGTGTGTGATTCTCCTCCGTCTTGGGTGAATTATTTAGTTTCAGCTGTGCTTTGCTTTGAAGATACCATTTGCAGAACACTGAATTTTTACACTCTTGGGGTCTCTCATTACCACGCAACAAATGGGCAGGCAGGCAGGATGGGGGCGGAATGAATTTAAATACATAAATTTGCCTGTCATTTTTTAAAAAGCAAATGTGGGCTGAAATCCCGCACGTGTCTCCGCAAGTGGCTTCAAGAGTTAGGCTGGTGTTGCTCAAGAGTACTTTCAACGGGCGGGGCGGGTTGAGGGAAGATGGCCTAGATCGGTGGAACTAGCATCTGCCCCAGAATAAATTTAAATTTGTCACTGTTAGCACTTCTCCTGTGCCCCCCTACTTCCCCCATCACCCACAAATCTCCTAAATGCGTGTTGAGGGGTTTCAAGACCCAAGTTGAGAGACTAGTAGACAATGCAAGATTAAAACTGGGGGCGTCCCAGTCAACACGCTCGCCACTATGCAACACCACCTCATGGCAGAGTCATGTCAAAGATGTCCTCCTATCCGATATTATAGTACAGTGGTACCTCTGGTTACGTACTTAATTCATTCCAGAGGTCCGTTCTTAACCTGAAACTGTTCTTAACCTGAAGCACCACTTTAGCTAATGGGGCCTCCCGCGGCTGCTGCGCTGCCACCACGCAATTTCTGTTCTCATCCTGAAGCAAAGTTCTTAACCCGAGGTACTATTTCGGGGTTAGCGCAGTCTGTAACCTGAAGCATATGTAACCGGAAGCGTATGTAACTCGAGGTACCACAGAAGAAGAAGAAGAAGAAGAAGAAGAAGAAGAAGAAGAAGAAGAAGAAGAGTAGTTTGGATTTGATATCCCGCTTTATCACTACTCTAAGGAGTCTCAAAGCGGCTAACATTCTCCTTTCCCTTCCTCCCCCACAACAAACACTCTGTGAGGTGAGTGAGGCTGAGAGACTTCAGAGAAGTGTGAGTAGCCCAAGGTCACCCAGCAGCTGCATGTGGAGGAGCGGAGACACGAACCCGGTTCCCCAGATTACCAGTCTACCGCTCTTAACCACTACACCACACTGGCTCCCAGTACTTCTTAGTACTTAAGTAAAGGTAATAACCAGCACTTTGCATTATGCTCAGAACAGAATTGTGCTTGGGAATAGCCAATGCACCTCGGACAATACTGAAGGCGTACGCCGCACAGGCCCCCGATAAGCCTTGGCTCCCTCCTTTTGCACCAGCTGGAATGCAGAAATGGCTGCGTGGAGCATCTGCATTGCATCTAGCTTGGCCCAACGATATGCTGGACCTCAGTCATCTCGCTAAGGATCTCCCGTCAGTTAACAGGAACCGCCCACTTGCCCTAGCCAGAGTTTCAGTCCGCTAATGATGCTCCAGAAAGTTTTAGGCCTTGTTCCATCCATGACTAGAGTTACTGGAATTAACTTCTGCATATTTCCATATTGTTCTAAAATCTCCCTGCCTCACATGCACCCTTTTAATCATGGAGACAAATCGTTTAAACTTTTGGGTTTGGTTCTAGCAGAGGTCCAGCTACCATTATGCTTGGTTCTCGCTGAGTTCTGGTCCAAGCATACCTCTGGAAATGCTTTACTTCTGGTTCACGCTGGAAAACTATGCGGTCGATTATCAAAGTGCAATGGAATAAGTCAACGGGTCTGATTTATTACAATTAAGTGTCAGCCTCCGCTATTAAGCATTACGAGAAACGCTTGGAGGGAGAGTCCAGAACACTTAATACTCAATTTGTAACGTGTTTTTAATTTGTACAATTTAGTTGCAGTGGATTTCCCTCTTTAACCCTTGCATGCTGCTGCTTAGCCCTTAAAGTGAATAAAACAGAAATCTAGACAGTACCAAGGTACTCCTAGTTTGACCTGCGTAACTATGGTTTATCACAGAAGCAGCCACTGAATGTAGCGCTACTTCATTTTTTCATGATTTCAGTTTGAGGGGGAAATCCTATGGCAAAGTCCATCAGGATGAGCAGATAAGGATGCAGTGGACCTCTGGTTGAGTCAGCCGATTCCTGGCTCAGCCAACTTTAAGTCCCCAACACCATCTCAGCCAAAGATACATTGGCATAATGTGTTCATCCCAGCTTCCAAAGTTGGCTGAGTCAAAGCTGGTCTTAAGTCTCAAAAAAAGGTGTATTCCAGGGGTACTGCAGGAGTAGGACCAGAGGGCTGGACCTAGGCTGCATCCTGAGCTCAGTTATATGACCTGGCAATCCAATTGTTTTCCCCCTGCCAGGCTTAATCAGAGCAGCAGCCCCGCTGAATGCCCAGGGTTTGGATCTGGTGCAACTTTACGCCGGCTTTTCTCACACCATCCTACGCTAGCTTCTTGCACACAGGTTTTCTCCCTTGGTTGCAGTCAATGACAATGTTCATAGAATCATAGAATCATAGAGTTGGAAGAGACCACAAGGGCCATCGAGTCCAACCCCCTGCCAAGCAGGAAACACCATCAGAGCACTCCTGACATATGGTTGTCAAGCCTCTGCTTAAAGACCTCCAAAGAAGGAGACTCCACCACACTCCTTGGCAGCAAGTTCGGTACGTAGAATCACAGAATTGTGCCATCAGAAGGGACTGCGAGGGTCATCTAGTCCAATAGAGGAATCTTTCACCCAACCCACAGCCCTGAGATTAAGAGTCTCATGCTCTACCGACTGAGCTAACCAGCCTCATCTTTGTCTCAAGAAAGAGTAAAAAGAAAGGAAAAGCAAAAAAAGAAGACGATGAGGGTTAAAAGCTCAGCCTTCTTAGACTTTCCAGAGTTCACATACTCTTTGAATCGTTTTTAAAGGAAAATAAAACAGTCCACATTAAGATAAGGAAGAGAGAGTGCTTATAAATTTAAAACATATCAAAACCATACACTGAACTTTGGGGAGGCAATAATTTTTAATATATTTTTTGCAACACTGAATAAACGGAAATATGTTTCGTCCATATCCTGTTCCTTTTGATCTTAAATAACACGTTCATTTTGACAATGTAGCAGCACTTCAAAGGGGGTTAACCAAACCCATATTTTGAAATGGAAACATGAACTTTATTTTTTAGGGGGGGTAGGCAGGGAAGAGTCTGTTCTGATGCTTAGTTTTAACAGTTTTGAGTGAGTGAGAGAAAAGCTTGGTTTGGCTCCTTAAATTGTCAATCCTTCTGAACATCATTATTATTTTCATTATATTATTATTATTATTATTATTATTATTATTATTATTAGAGAGAGACCAGAGATGTTAAAAGCAAGTTGTAACAGGTAACTGAAAGCCATAGCCAAGTCAATTATGCAAATATCGGGAAAATCTTGTGCATATTTTGGCACCCAATAATGTAAAGGCATGTTGCTGATGACCCATCTTCAGATGACAGCAGGTTATCAAACATACACAAAAATGATCCTGCTAACAACAACATTTAGGTGACTCAACAAATGATATCAACAGCTTTTGCTACTTAGCAACCAACTGCTAAAAGTAAAACACAGAAAACTGAGAAAAAGAAATGATACCAGAAGGATATCATTTCAACACACCCAACACCGAAATTATCAAATGGCAGGGTGGGAGGACAGTAGATCAGGATCTACAGGTAGATTTCAGGTGATTTGCCGTAGATTGTTAAGGATCTCTGATTCCCAACAGTAGGAGCAACAAAACGACTCTTTGCTTGCTTCCCATGTCAATTTTTTACTGCTGAAATGAAAAACAAAAACTTTACGGTATATTTCTGTGTGGAAAGGACTCCGAACAAATCCCAGGCTCAGAATTCTTTTGAAGTAAATGTGCAAATACTTAGCTAGCATTCAAAATCATGCATTCTTTACCTTTTAAAATTTGTTAATGTCGATTTTTATCAGAATTCTTAAACACAGTATGCCGTTAGCACCAGGCTCTGACTGAGGGATCCTGGAACATGAGTTAAAAGGCAAAATAGATCCTGCGAGACAGAAGTCCAGCCATGTGTTCAAGGGGGAAGCATTTGCAAAGAAATTCAGGGCTCCTGTGCACAGAGTGGATTTCAGGCACGTTCGATTTGTTAAGCCGTGGGGAGGAAAGCCAACACAGCTAAAAATGTGTAGCCTACTTTGAAGAGACGACAATGGAGGCCAGTCCTCTGTCTAAAGGCAACCATTGGGTAAAGCAAGTGTAACCTCAAAGGAAGAGGCATAGGAGTTGACCCAACTCACTGAGTGAAGCAGGCAGTTTCTGTTCACCTACTGAAATATGCAAAACATAATCCATATTTAAAAAACAAAAAAACCCCTCCAGTTAAAAGCCAAAGCCTTTATCCCCACTCTCTTACCCTAACCAACTGATTTACCTCCAAGACCAGGAGAAGGAATACAGCATGATGCGGGCCATTTCTAAAAGAAACAAAATGCTTTGAACCTGTGCCATCTCAGCCGATCCCAAGTGTTCCAACAGTTTCAATAAGCGTATTGCACACACTCAGGACTAGAAACTTGCTTTAGAACAAATGAAAGTTGAGGTTCCCAGCAATCCAGGCAAATCCGAACACTCTGTGCCAAACACAAAGCCAAGGGCTGAACGTGTTGCATGTGTGATTGTTCCTGAGGCTACCTTTTTCCAAGTCACCATCTCTTACGCTGGGTGTTGCTGGCAGACGCTAATGGATTTGGGAGCCTAACAATGTCTGGAGGGCACCAGGCTGGGGAAAACTGTCCTAGAGTTTATAATAGCCTCAGTCCAGTATACCTGAAGGAGTGTCTCCACCCCCATCGTTCTACCCAGACACTGAAGTCCAGCGCTGAGGGCCTTCTGGTGGTTCCCTCACTGCGAGATGTGAAGTTACAGGCAACCAGGCAGAGGGCCTTTTCAGTAGTGGCGCCCGCCCTGTGGAAGACCCTCCCACCAGATGTCAAAGAGAACTACAACTACCAAACTTTTAGAAGACATCTGAAGGCAGCCCTGTTTAGAGAAGCTTTTAATGTTTGATGTATTACTGTATTTTAATATTTGGTTGTAAGATGCCCAGAGTGCTATTATTATTATTATTATTATTATTACTATTAGAGCAGGCATGTCCAACCGGTCGACTGCGATCTACTGGTGGATCACTTTATCCTCATTGATCCCCCCCCCCCAAAAAGGGGGGGAGGACAAAAAAGCTTAGGGTTTTCCTCCCCCAAAAAAGCTAAATAACTTTGGTGAAGGCTCCCCCCAAAAAGTTCAATAACTTTGGACAATCCAATGGATAGATCACTGCCAGTTTTTTTATAGTGGGAGTAGATCACAGTTTCTTGGGAGTTGGACTTGCCTGTCCTAAAGGATCTGAAAACCATGTGCCTACCGCCCCGTCCAAAGATCTGAAACTACAAAAACAAGGGGGTGGAGAAAAAGAGGAACGGTCTGCTAAAGCCATAAGCAACGTGTTAGCGAAGCCTGCTAGTCAGGGACATTTACAAGCCACTGAGCCTTTTAAGCTGTCGCCAGTCTCAGGTAGAAAACCGTACGCGCTTTAGGCTGGGGACACGGCTGGGGACTCACGCCAGCTTTGGTCACAAGTTTCACACCAGCGGAGGACCTTCTGGGGAAGTTTGCCAAAGCACTTCAGCCCGTAACTTCACAGTTTATTTTAGAAGTCCGCCGCGGCTGTTACAGAACTAAAAACAGGCACACTAAATGCTTTGCGGCACTATCGCATCAGATGCCCAAAGCCACTTTATTACCACTGATTAAATCAGAAAAGGCCGGACCTTTCTCCTTTTTTACGTGATCCGTCAAAGACACGAAGAGAAGCCGCTGCTTCCCTCCCTGCCCAAACCTGAAGGTCATTTCCAAGTTTTGTTTATCCCAGCCCAGAGGTCTTGTTTTTGCATTATATAATCTCCGGTTCTGAGCCCGGCAGACCCTGGAATGGAAGAAGAGCCCTACTGGATCAGGCCAAAGACCCACCGAGTCCAGCATCCTGTTCTCACAGTGGCCAACCAGATGCCTGTAGGATGCCAGCAAGCAGGATTCAAGCTCAAGAGTAATCTCCCCTCTTGTGATTTTCAGCAACTGGTATTCACTAGCGTTATATCCAACTGTAGAGACAGAGACAAGCCATGCTAGCTAGCAGCCATCGATAGCCCTCTCCTCCATGAATTTTGTCTAATCCTGTTTTAAAGCCATCCATGTTGGTTCCTTCACTGCCTCTTCTGGAAGCAAATTCCATAGTTTAACTAAAGTGCTGTGTGGAAGAAGTGCATCCTGTCTTTGTATGCCATGAATCTTCCAATGTTTGGCGTCATTGGAAGTCCCCAATTTCTAGTCTTTCTTCTTCCTTTCTTTCTTTCTTGGGGACATTTCTCTATGTACTTTCTCCATACTTTGCAAAACTTAATAGTAAACAGTTAAGGATCTTAAAAAGCAGAGAAATCACCTTGCCAACAAAGGTCTGTATAGTTAAAGCTATGGTTTTCCCAGTAGTGATGTATGGAAGTGAGAGCTGGACCATGAAGAAGGCTGATCGCCGAAGAATTGATGCCTTTGAATTATGGTGCTGGAGGAGACTCTTGAGAGTCCCATGGACTGCAAGAAGATCAAACCTATCCATTCATAAGGAAATCAGCCCTGAGTGCTCACTGGAAGGACAGATCCTGAAGCTGAGGCTCCAATACTTTGGCCACCTCATGAGAAGAGAAGACTCCCTAGAAAAGACCCTGATGTTGGGAAAGATGGAGGGCACAAGGAGAAGGGGACAACAGAGGACAAGATGGTTGGACAGTGTTCTCGAAGCTACCAGCATGAGTTTGACCAAACTGCAGGAGGCAATGGAAGACAGGAGTGCCTGGTGTGCTCTGGTCCATGGGGTCACGAAGAGTCGGACACGACTAAACAACAACAACAAGGACTGGGAACAAAAGACAAATACACCAAATCTAAACTTTGCCGTTTCATGGAATCATAGAACTGTAGAGTCGGAAGGGACCACAAGGGTCTTCTACTTCAAATCCCTTAAAATCAGGGATCTTTTGCCCAACGTGGGGCTCAAACCCACAACCCTGAGATTATGAATCTCACTGCAAGGAGAGCCCTGCTAGATCAGGCCAAGCGCCCATCTAGTCCAGCATCTGCTTCTCACAGCAGCCATCCAGATGACCACGAGAGGACCAGAAGCAGAACATGAGAGTGACAGCACTGTCCTCGATGGTGATTCCTGGCAGCTGGTGCTCAAAGGCATGTTGTCTCTGACAGTGAAATCAGAGTCTGCTGTATTTGTCCTGCTACTTTAGTAGTTTTAAGGGAACTCTTTGGACTAGATAGGCCACAGAAGTCACAAGCAAGAATGTCTAATTTTCTTCTTTGACAGAGACAGACTATTGATTGCATTGTCTCTGCGTTGCAAGTTGCTTATGCATTTAGCTCTTTTCGATCTGTATAATTATGATACCTACTGGATATAATTAAGCCATTTCAAGCTTTATGACACCTAAGTCCTGCAAGAGGTTACAGAAGCACGATATAGTCATGTACAACACACACACAAATTTGCAGCCAACTTTACAATTCAAATGACCCGACTGGTTTTGAAAGTCTCATTTTATAGTCTTTTTTTTTTTAATTCTGCAATCAAGACAAGTCATGCAAAATTAGGGAAGGAGACATCAGTCTATTTCAAGTCTGTGACAAGTTTGCATATGTTTATTTAAATGTCAGTATTTTAATTCATGTCATTGTATTTTAATTTGGATTTAACTGTAAATGTTTATTATTGTTATTGTTATTTTTATAGTTGCTATTATTGGTTTCTATTGATGAATTGGTTGGTTTGTTGCTCGTACAGGATATTTAGTTTTTTTATGTTTGATGCTTTATTGTGTTTTTATGTGTGTTGTAAACTGCCCAGAGTGGCTGGGGAAATAAAAAAAGATACATATTATTAATTTAAAAAATATTATTACTATTATTTTGTACCAGAGAGGCAGAAATTGTATTTTTCAAAGGAAAAAATGAGATTTTAAAATACACTATTGGAATGATATGCTTAATGATGCAGTTGAACCCCAGTCCATATTGGGAATTACCGTATTTTTTGCTCTATAAGACTCACTTTTTCCCTCCTAAAAAGTAAGGGGAAATGTGTGTGCGTCTTATGGGGCGAATGCAGGCTGCACAGCTATCACAGAAGCCAGAACAGCAAGAGGGATTGCTGCTTTCACTGCGCAGCGATCCCTCTTGCTGTTCTGGCTTCTGAGATTCAGAATATTTTTTTTTCTTGTTTTTCTCCTCCAAAAACTAGGTGCGTCTTGTGGTCTGGTGCGTCTTATAGAGCGAAAAATACGGTATATAACCACAGATGTTAGTATTTGGGGACTGTATGCAAATTGTAGTGATATTTTACTGGACTTGTTAATTTTTATTTATCAAGTTCTAATTTAAATTCATATAGTATTCTGTGTAATATTATCTTGCAACATAGTGATCTTTTGTTATTATTTCTTTACTATTTTTATTGGTTTTCATTATTATTAATATTGTAAATTAAGACTGCAGAATACAGAACTGTGAACAGGTTTATTATATTAAGTGCTATACAATAAAGTTTTATGCAGAACAGACCCACTGAAATTAATGAATAATATCAACGGGTATACGCTGAGTAAAACTTCACTGAATACCACCGATTATGCTACTCCATATTTTTCAAAGCCCATTTAGTTGCATTTACACATTAATCTGCAATTTCTTTATTTAAAAAACCATAAATCATAAATGCATACTTAAAATGCATTTTATGCGAAAGCAGCAATTTAAAATGCATGTTTCATCTCAACCAATTCATTTGATCCTAAAGTATGCATACGCAAATTTAGGCATTTTGGTACTACCGTATAATGATTTTAGAAAAATCCATAGGATAATTATGTTTCGAGCCGCATTCTAATTTAGGAGGCACAAATTAGGTCAGCTTGTTTAAATATGCAGACCAAACTAAAGCCTCCTCTACCCTTCTGCAAAATACAGTCAGCAGACCAGAGTAATGCAAAATACAGAAATCTGCAGTAAAATACGATCATTCAGAGTGCAGCAATACGCAGTAAAACACATTACGGGTAAGAACACCTTCAGCCACTGTGCAGTAGTGGGACTAAGGTTCAAATTCCCAGCCAGCCACAATCACATCTCACAGGGATGCTGCAAAAATAAAACCATTTTTTCCATCCTGAGCTCTTTGGAGAACTGGTAAAGCAAAAAGAGAGAGAGGATAAAAACACAAGGTGAGGTGGATGCCTGTCTTTTGTTTTTAAATTAAGCTCAACCATGTGTCCTTGAACTCTGCAATGCCTCTTCCTTGCCAGGAGGGAAGAGGTTCTTGTGAATGTGTGCAGAAATTGCCAAAGAGTCGTGTCAGCGTGTCTAGAAAGTAGTCTGGTGTAGAAAGGGGAAACTGACATTGCTTGCTCTGCTCCTTTTTGCCTCTGATCCTGTCCACCCCCAGCCTGTGGTCCTCAGAAGATTGTCCATAAGAGAATGTGGCCCTTGGGCAGAAAAAGGTGCCCAGCCCTGCTCTTAGGCAAGAGAAACAAAGCAGATGGGGCACTTCTTGCTTGCTTGCTTCCCCAGCAGTCCCTGTCAGCCCTCCTTCACCCGGTCCCACAACAAGACGACACTATGGTTTTGGTGGAATAAACCAAAGGGGTCTCATCACTTCCTTTGGAAGGTTATCTGAAACAAGGACAGGGACCCTATGATCATCCTGATGCTGTGAGGGTCCCATAAGCCTCAGGCAACCTGTTCAATGGTTAAGGGTGATGGGAGTTGTAGTCTATGGAGGGCACCCCAACGGATGACTCTGACTTGAGCAGTTCTCTGGAGTCTGACAACATCTGGAGGGCCACAACATCTGGAAGTCCAAAGGTCCTCATGTAAAGGGATGCAAGTTGGCAAGTCAAAAACTTTGATCTCTTTTGAAATGTAAACCACCCCTTTTAACTATGGAGATGCAAGCATAAACAGATCCGAGGTAGAGGTGGGAGGGAGCCAATTAGCTTTTACAACCAAAGAAGATTAGTATTATCCATACTGTGTTATTTTTATTCCACTTGTAAACCTGAAGCACTTTCTTTTTCCCAACATGGATTGAGACTGCATTTTTTAAATTAAAAAGAAACAAACATCACTTTTAGGGAATCGTTTCCATTGGCCATTATTTGCACTTTTCACAAAAAATAATAAATCCACGGACAAAAGTTCAAGAACTCTTGATTATCATTGTCAATGTGTGAGCTGATTGTTAAGGGCGCTTAATTATACTTTTCCTTTATGATTTAACACAGGCTGTGCCTACGAGGAGGAAAATACAACGTTATCAGAACACAACAGGAGAACCCAAGTTTCCTGACATCACAAAGGGAAAACCAAACTCTGTGTCTGGTAAACAGCCACCTCACATGCATGGATCATGCTGGTCTGGGGTTTCCTTCATGGATCTGGTCATAGACTGTCTTGAGCCTAGATTTTATCCCAGCCTCTCACTTGCACCTTGAGGCTAAGACTAAGTTGGTTATCCACTCATCTGCAAAGCGTATTGTTTTTGGAAACACAGAGAATAATCTTCTATGTGCAGAACCCATTTTTTCATTAGAAGAGAAGGAGGCAGAAGAATCCAAACCTGCAGATACTACCAGTGATGTGAGGTGGGAAATTTTCCATGGCATATTTTCCCAAACAGGGATTTTTTCCCCCATGGAAAAGCTTCTGCTTAAGTAGTTCATAAGCAATAGCGAATCGGTGCCAAATGCAAAAGGCAGTATTAGGCAAAAGCATGGCAGCTTCAAGGCTATTATCATGTTGTTGCTAAATACAAGTAAAACAAACCTGATAAATTTGGTCACTTTCTCGGGCAGGAAGGGGGAACCTCAGGGCCCGTGATTCAATACTCTACGGACCTCAAAAGTCTCCCCGAGCCACACCTTTCACCAGTCCCTGTAAACTGCTTTGGTATTTTTCTTTTTTTATGATAAATACTGGGTGAAAGAGGAGAGCGCAAAATATGGCCTGAAGCTCAACATCAAAAAAACAAAGATCATGGCCACTGGTCCCATCACCTCCTGGCAAATAGAAGGGGAAGAAATGGAGGCAGTGAGAGATTTTACTTTCTTGGGCTCCATGATAGTGACAGCAGTCACAAAATTAAAAGACGCATGTTTCTTGGGAGAAAAGCAATGACAAACCTAGACAGCATCTTAAAAAGCAGAGACATCACCTTGCCGACAAAGGTCTGTATAATTAAAGCTATGGTTTTCCCAGTAGTGATGTATGGAAGTGAAGGCTGATCGCTGAAGAATTGATGCTTTTGAACTATGGTGCTGGAGGAGACTCTTGAGAGTCCCATGGACCGCAAGAAGATCAAACCGGTCCATTCTGAAGGAAATCAGCCCTGAGTGCTCACTGAAAGGACAGAACCTGAAGCTGAGGCTCCAATACTTTGGCCACCTCATTAAAAAAGATACTCCCTTGAAAAGACCCTGATGTTGGGAAAGATGAAGGGCACAAGGAGAAGGGGACGACAGAGGACGAGATGGTTGGACAGTGTTCTCGAAGCTACGAACATGAGTCTGACCAAACTGCAGGAGGCAGTGGAAGACAGGAGTGCCTGGCGTGCTCTGGTCCATGGGGTCACGAAGAGGCGGACACGGCTAAACAACAACAAAATAATAAATACTGTCTGAGAAAGCTTCCCAACGCAAACTGGAAATTTCCAGTGAAAATGAGCGGGGGAAATCAGAGAACCTACACCACTATATTCTACCCATCTCTCCCTTTAGCTGAGTATCCCCTCTGCCCTTCCAGCCCCACTGTAGGAAATACTTCATTCTCTTCCAACGTCCCAGATTATCAGGATACTTTAGTACTAGAATATTCAGAATGTTTTATTCAGGGTTTTCCGAACACATTAATGGGTTAAATCTTTCAGAGGTGTTACAGGAGGGTCATACCTTCCCTCCCTCCCACCCACCCACCCCACAAAAAAGAGGGTACTCACTGTACTTCTGCTTTTGTATAAACCCAGCATGGTACTTAGAAAAAGGTGCCCTGATCGCACA